GGGAGAACTTGCACAATTGGTGGCTGACTAAATACTTTTTTGCCCCACTGTATTCATAACAGAAGTTTGACATAATTTAAGCAAGAATGGCTGCCATATATATTATATATTAAAGGTAGACCTTGTTTAGCAATCACAGTTAGGACTGGCAACTTGGCTGGTAAACTAAGCAGTTCCTAAGTGAAACTGCAACTGTGCTTCAGCTTTCCTTTGCTTTACAGACCTGCAAAGGTCATTTAATGTGAGGAGTTACTTTTTCATCACTGTCATAACTGTGAAAAGTTGCCAAACAAGGCAGTTGCTAAAAAAGCACTCCCTGTATGCAGCTAGGCAAATGTAAGCATTTACAGTGCAGGTAGTCCTTGCTTAACCACTGGTTGAAGTTATAGCAGACCCAAAGTTACAGCTGACGCAGCACCCCTCGCAGTTGTTCACCTTTACAACTGACTGCAGGGATGCTCCAACATACCCCTATCAGGTCCCTGAAGGTCTTGGACCTCTTCCCCACCCTGTCACCCACTGCACATTTACCTTTTGAAGAACTCTGGAGTGCTGTGAGATGGGTGGTGGGGAGGAGGCCCAAACCATGTAGGGACCTGGTAAGGGGGAAAAGACACATGGACTGCAAATTCCAAGAGCAGGGAAATGATGACAGCCCCTCCCACAAAAGCTCACAGGAGGGGTTCACCAAGCATTGAAAGGGGCTCACACACAACTTCACCAGGTACATTGTTATGCATCAATTCTGTTCTCTCCCTCCCCTCCGGTCAGGAAGTAATCTTACCTGCTCTGATAGATTCAGGAGCAACAGCTAACTTTATTAGCCATCTGGACCTTCACAGTATTAGGATTCAAGTGGATGCTACTTCACAACCCCATGATTAAGTGGAAGAAACAGTATCTTTCTTTTAACAACCCTGATTGCCTTCCTCATTGGAATCCTCTGTCCAAAACCCCCCACCAGCCACCCCTGAAGACTAGCAGGGAGATTCCCAATCTCCCAAGCAAGTAAACAGACTTTCAAGGTGTTTTTGGGAGGAGGAAGCAGCAGTTCTTCCCACACACAGAGACTGCAACTATGCCATAGACCTGCTCCCAAGTGCAAAAATGCCTGCCAAAAGGCAGTACCCAATGTCAGCTAACGAGCTAACAACCTTGAAGCAATATTTGGACACTAACATCTACATGAAACCGCTGGGCGAGATCATTCGGAGGCACGGGATAAAATACCACCAATACGCGGACGACACTCAGTTGTATCTGTCCNAGTCGAACCCCGAATTACTTGGGTCAAGTCCATGGCTGTCATGGAAGCCATGAACTCCTGCGCCCCGTCAGAGCGTTCGCCAAGTGTAGGCAGGTGGTGGCAGGCCAAGTTGGATGTGGGATTGAGGTGACAGACATCAAGGCTAGGATGGCAGCTGGCCCTGGAGTCACCAAGAGACGTCCTATTGCAGAGCCAAAGAAGCCGTGTCCATCACCCAGGGGCCCTTGTGAGGAGTATTGGAAAGACTCGGGGAGACTGGGTCACACAAGAGTGAGACCGAGGGCTGAAAGTATATGGGAGTCTGCTCCTAGGGTGAGAGCCTGAAGTGGCTAGTTTGCCTGTGTAGTTGCTTGTAGCCCCCCACCCAGAGTAAGAGCTGGTTGGAGGGTTTTTGATGAGTGGGCCTCCCCCCCAGCCCTGACTGGCCAGTGAGAGGGACCAGGTTGGGACGGAGCATAGTGTTTCTGGGGAGGGATTGGAGGGGGGAACTCTTGGCGCTGACAGCCTAAGCCAGGGGTCAGCAACCAGTAGCTCCGGAGCCGCATATGGCTCTTTTATCCCTCTGCTGCAGATAGAAGCGGCCAGGGCTGATTCTCCAGTGCCTCATCTCTTGCTGGGTCTCGCCGGTGCTTCTTCCGGCCCTTGTTGGTGCTGGGCACGCCTCGGTCACTTGGGGAGATGAGCGACCTACTCTCCGCCCTGAGACAATGGCTTGCCCTGGCCGCGGCCAATGCCGCCTCCATGGCCTGACTGCTGCTCTTGCAGCGCCTTGCGCAGCAGAGTGAAAGGAGAGCAGGATTAGCCACCACCCATTTCCTGCTGCAGTCTGTTGGGCAGCGAGACCCAGCTAGAGGCGCCAGAGAATCAGAAAGACAGAGACAAGAGAGACAGAGAAAGACATAGAGAGACAGAAAGAGACAGAGACACACAGAGAGAAAAGGGTAAACAACACACCTGAGTCCGGGTGTGGCAAGAAGTGGTTGGGAGGGGAGGGCTGAGGCGTGGCAAATAATTTAACAACCAGTTCTCTGCCCTAATGACCGGCTGGGTAGGTGTCATGTGACTGGGTGGGAGTGAGTGATGTCGATTTGGCCACGCCCACCCAGTCACACCGGTTGTTAAATTATTGGCTCCCGGTGTTTTCTTTTCTGTAGGAAACGGGTCCAAATGGCGCTTTGAGTGTTTAACGTTGCAGACCCCTGGCCTAAGCTAGTGCTGTGGGGACTTCCTAATCAATCCCCCCAGGATTTATGAGAGTATGGATGAGAGTGACTGGAGGGAGATGGCAGAGCCCCTGGGCTCTTCAAGGAAGGCGGTCGGGGGGAGGGAGAATGACCACTTTGGGAGATGTAGGGCAGGACAATGCATCACGGTAGTGAGGCATGGGATGCTATGGGAGCCAGGGGGCAGGCCATTACAGGGGGAGACACCCACAATGCGTAATACCAGTGGTGCATTCTGGGCTCCCTGATCTCACTCACAGTTCCTGGACAGCATGCCCTCAGAGGTCCTGAGGTTCAGCTGCTGCTACTGAATCCCAGGTCAGTTAACAGCAAGGTTTCCCTAATTCAATATCTCATTGAGGAGCAAGCTGACCTAGTATACACCACTGACTGACTGGCTGACTCCAGAAGGGGGGACCCCTCTCAGAGATGTGTTCAGCCAGGTTTAGGGTTTGGCACCAGCCAAGACCCCAGGAGAGGGTAGGTGTGGTGGTTATCGGAAAGTTTATTTTGGCCTTCAGGGGCCTTGCTCATTAGGTTCCTGGCTGCAAGACCCTGTTTCTGAAGCTGGGCTCACAGGATCAATTGGGATTGTTGCTAGTATACCAGCCTCCCTGCTGTGTGGCAACGTCCTTGCCTGGGCTGCTGGAGGCCATCTCAGGACTGGCAGTGGAGTTTTCCAGGCTTATGGTTCTGGGAGGACGTCAACCTGCCATCCCTGGGTTTGGCCTCCAAAGCAGCCCAGGAGTTCATGAGCACCATGGTGGCCATGGGGCTATCCCAGATCATTATGGGCCCTTTTTGGGACAGGAGGGGACATTTCCAGGGGCTTTTAAGGAGGCCCTGGTTTGCTCCCCTCCTTAAAAAAACATAACTTGATCCCATCTGCCTGAAAATATTTGGTCCTGTTTCCAATCTTCCCTTCCTAGGGAAGAGGGTGGAAAAGGTGGTTGCCTGGCAGCTTCAGAGTGTCCTGGATGAAATGGATTACCTGGACCCGCCTTTCAGTCAGGATTTAGGCCCGGTTATGGGATGGAAACAGCATTGGTCGTGCTTGATGATCTCTGCCGAGAGCAGGATAGGCGGTAGTGCAACCATCCTTGCGCTCCTTGACCTCTCAGCGGCCTTCGATACCATCAACCATGGTATCTTTTTGGGCCAGCTACGGGGGATGAGGATGGACAACATAGGTTTGCCTTGGTTTGGCTCCTTTCTCCAAGGCTCGTCCCAATCAGTGTTATAGGGAGTGAGAGACCCAGCCCTTGGCCATTATCTTGTCGCGTGCTGAAGGGCTTGGTATTCTCTCCACTCCTTTTAAACATCTACACAAAGACGCTGGGTGAGATCATCCATCACCATGGGTTGAGGTATCTGTAGTATGCTGGTGACACTCAGCTTTAAATCTCCACCCGTTGATCCAAGTGATGCTGTGGCTGCCCTCTTATGGTGCCTGGAGGCTGTGGGGCTCTGGATGGGGTGGCACTATACCAGACGGATCTGGTCCACAACTTGAGGGGGTTCTCCTGGACTCGTGAGTCCTGCTCAAAGAGCAGGTGGCAGTCACGGCTAGGAGACCCTTTGCACAATTTCTGGTTATGCACCAGTTGCAGCCTGTCATGGATCAGTTGTTCCTGCACTCAGTCATTCAAGCCCTAGTCATCTCACGGTTGGACTATTGCAACATGCTCTACATGGGGCTGTCCTTGAACAGCATTCAGAAGCTACAGCTGGTGCAGTGTGGTGGCATGGGCAGTTTTTCAGCCCCAAGGGTGGCCCATACAACACTTCTGCTCCATTAGCTGCACTGGCTACCCGTTTGCTTCCAGATGCAATTCAAGGTGTTGGTAATCAGCTTTAAAGCCCTTCATGGTATGGGTCCAGGTTACTTAACGCAGTGGTCCCCAACCTTTTTATCGCCGTGGACCGGTCAACGTTTGATAATTTCACCGCGGCCCGCTGAGGGGGGGACGTTGATTGTTTATATTTTAGATTGTTTTGATTTAATAATTTTAATTTAATTGTATTTAAACATGCCTTCAANCAATGTTTGTGTCAGAATTGGGACTAGATACTGGAGAGCACCCTTGGCATAGAATTTACTGGTATGCTCTGGAGGCCGTCCTTGTTCTGCTGCCTAGGCAAGAAATAATACAAATGTTTTAATTTCCAGCTAAACATGCATTTGTGCTTCTTACCTATCTGAACTGAGAGAAGTATTTGCAGTTAGATTTCCTTTGAAACTCTCATGGGAATGACATTATACTGCAAGGCTGTGTGCTAATATAAATTTAAATGTATGTGCAAATACATGAACATGTAATGGATAACACAGAAAACTATTACATAAACTTGGTTAGTTATGATAGTATTGTCTACGGGAGTGGATGGTGTTTGTGGCATTCCTGAACAATATAAGAAAGTGATTCCCCCCCCCCCCCTTCCCCCTTTTAACTGGCCTGGAAGCACCTTAACCTCACCGGCTGGACAAGCAGCCAGGCAACAAGCAGTAGCAACTTAAAGTGCAGCTGCTCAGCACTGGTGAATTTTGACTAGGAACTAAGGCTGCTAGCTGCTGCATTCGGCTCAGCTGATCAGTGGCTCAAAGAATCAACTATTTGCTGGCTCATTTGCGGTGACGACATTGAGAGATGATGGTAAGAGTGGGGCAGCAGGGACAGAGCTGGGACCAAGGCTGGAGCAGTGACTGCCCTAGAGATGCCCCGTGGGCTTGCGGCCAAGGCTCTCCAAACTTCTATCCAAGCCTTGCTTGCTGGGGAAACAACTTCGAGTGTGGCTGCCAGGTCATGGTGAGAGCAAGTTACTAACAGCAGCCTTAGCACCAAGCTCAGCTATTTGGTGGTGTTCAGGCCCAGTGGTTTGGTAGTAATTTGGCAGCAATTCGGCAGCAACTGCTCTTTGGAGCCATCCCTGAAGCCCCATATGTACCCTTCTGGCATAGCAAATGGCAGCGGTTTGGGATGCAACCACTCAGCATGGTGGAGGTTGGTAAGGAGTTGTGGCTGCTGCACCCGGCCCAATGGGTCGGCACAGAAGACCAGCTGCTTGGCGTTCTGGACTAGCTGAAGTCTTCGAACACTCTTCAAGGGCAGCCCCATGTAGAGCGCGTTACGGTAATCCAGTCTTGAGGTNGCAAAACATGTGGGACAATGTCATCTTCACAACAGGTTGCCAGAAGCATCAGGCAGACTCCAGCTGCTTTACAGGGGTTCCAGTCATCATCATCACTCTCATACTAAGTGGAAAAAAATGGGAATAAATAGTATTCAAGATTTATTATATTTGAAATGGCTAAAATCTGATTTTATAATAAATCTGATTAGGTTTCAGGTAGGAACACTATCTTCTCATAATATTTGACAATCTCATAACAATTCAACCATATACTTTGGAGTTCTGAACTAGGGGAAAGTTGTCAGATTTTGCACACTATACCAATGGTTGTCATGGTTTTAATGACCGAGAGATAACAGAATGAATGGTACCTTTAAAAGCAAAGTGACAAAGAGACTTTATGCAACAGAGATGGATATAATTTGGTACAAGATTAACAGAACTGTATTTTTAATATCAACAGTTGAGTCTTAAGTGCAGCCAAGATCGCCATAGTATCAAACTGGTGCAATCTCAGGTTGTCAACATAATGCTTTTTAATTTGTAGAGATTGATTTCAAAGTGAAGCAGATGTCTACTAGCTCTGCTCATGGAAGAGTATTTCTTCAAGTACCTGTATTCTATTGGACAATAGACATCATGAAATTTTTTGGGAATACTAGGCCATGAGTAAGAAGAATTGTGCATTGCCAATTTAGAAGTGAATGCAATCTCTGAGTCACAGAATTGCCATAGATATTTCAGAATCTTTGTGTATAACAAAGTTATAGGTTAAACTAGAAAACACCCCCTGAAAATAGAACATATGTTTCTTTCTGCAGACCAGGTCATTTTAAATTTGTTCTCAACTTTTTCACAATAATGCCAGTCCTCTACAACCTGATGCCTTCAGTTAATTGGATTTCAATTACCTGGCTTGAAGACCAGACCAAAGAATAAAATACGCTAGGAGATTAATTTTAATATAGCTGGAGGTTACCAACCTGGTGAAAACTGCAGACCCTGAAACTACAGATAGTCCTCGCTTAATGACTGCCGTTTAGTTACCAAAGTTACAACGCTGAGAAAATAACTTTACAACTAAGTCAATCTCCTACAACTGTTGTAGCTTTCCTGCTGTCACCTGATTGACATTCAGACACTCTGCAGCTAGTGTTTACAACCATTGCAGTGCCTTGCAGTGATGTGATCACCATTCACCTTCACAGCCAGCTTCCAACAACCAGAGTCAACAGAGAAGCCAGCAGTGAAATCTTGTCATGATGTCTTGTTTAATAACCATGGCAGAAGTGAAATCATAAGTCTATTGTTGTACATGATGTCTCGCTTAATGACTGCATTGCTTAGCAACAGTTACTGATCCCAAGGACTACCTGTATGTTGGAGAACGGTGCAGACATATACATTACCTGTTTTGTCAATGTTTGTGTCAGAATTGGGACTAGATACTGGAGAGCACCCTTGGCATAGAATTTACTGGTATGCTCTGGAGGCCGTCCT